ATGTGCATCTTTTCCAACTCGTTTTTGTTAGACTGCTTGGCCTCATCCTATAGTGCATGTTTGTTCGCCAAAGCATACGAAGCTGCTAGGGTCAGTTCTTCTCCCTTGATCAGTTTTCCGAATAAAGGGTGTTCGGTGGAAAGCCCATTTCTGAATGATGTCGTTGCTATGTCTTCATTGCAGCCAACAATCTTGGCCTTCTCTACTTTGAACCTTTTGACATAAACGCAAATTATCTCCCAAGGGTCTTTTATGATGCTAAAGAGATGGTTAGATGTCTTCTTGATCGAGCGGTTAGATGAATACTCCTTAGTGAAAATAAAGGAAAGTTAGTTGAAAATCCGGATCGACTGCGGTGGTAGAGTGTGAAACCAATCTTGCGCCTTGCCTTGTAGAGTTGTGGCAAAATTTTTGCACATAAGCGCATCGTTATTCTTGTAGAGGATCATGGTACTGCAGTAATGCTTCAGATGTCGATCTGGATCTTCGTCTCCCTTATACGGAGTGAAGTGAGACATAATGAACCCGCGAGGTGGATTTGTCTACTCGATCTCATTCATGAATGGTGACATGCTTATGTTGGTCATGTCTCGTCAAAGCGCATCGTTAGCAACCTCATCACGTTGGAAATTGCACAATCATTCAGTTAGGAGTCTCTCAACTTCTTCTTGAATTTGCCTTTGTTGGGGCAGTGGAACTTTCGGCTGCCCCTAGTCATGACATGTGGGTTTGGCTACCCCTAGTCATGACACGTGGGTTTGGGCCTCCCTTCCTTATGCTTGACTTGTCTATATCGCGGTTGCAGTACATGTGGCATTTTCCTGGCGGGCGAACGAGCTTCTTGCAGATTGTCGATTGAACTTGAGTTGGATTGAGTGACTGCTTCTCTCCGTTTACTGTGCTGCCTACTCCGATGTGAGGTGGAGAATGCTCCTTGCGAGCCTAGTTGTGAATGAACACTTAGCTTGGAAGTTTGTCCATGTTGATAAGCAGAGTGAGACCTCAACCATGCACGTATGCTTGTCCATGGGCTTGATCGGGAATGCACGCTCATCTGCGCGCTACGACGAAAGTATACGCTATCCCAAGGACCCAGGTGGAAGTGTAAATTGCCAGAACGCTTATATTATAGTTGGTTGAGGGGTTGCTTACCAGGACGTTGCTGGTTCGTCTGCCCTTGTCCTACTTCGGGACTCCTCGTCCGGGGCATGTTGCATCTCGATGCGTTGCAAGAGCTGATTCACCAAGGTCGTCTGTTGTGCGAGGGCGCTCGTCAACTCTATGACTTGTCGAGACAAGTGTTGTTCACCATTTGGATTGGAAAAGTCTGGAAGGAATGCACCTCTTTAAGTAGTGGAAGGGTGGTAAACTCTGGGCACGAGATTTGAGTTGGGAAATGTCAAATCTGCAGAGAAATGTGGTAAAAATGCCCCCGGTTCCATCGTAGGTCCTGAAACTTGAAGTTGGAATGGTTGAGCTAATCTTGGGCCGATTTGGGCTTCTTGGAAAGCCACGAAAGTAGGCTGGGTCGCGAGAGTAGGCTGGGCCGCGAGAGCAGGCTGGGTTGCGAGGGCAGGCTGGGCCATGGGAGCAGGCTGGGCCAAGGGAACAGGTTGGGCCGCTAAAGCAAGCTGGGCCGCTAGAGCAGGCTGCTCAGCGCGTGATGCTTGCGAATGTGAGGCTTGGGCTCAGCTTGGCAACATATTGGGCTCGTGTTGGGCATGGAGTGACATGGCTCGGGCTGTGGTGGAGCCTTGTGGTGGTGGTGCCGCTCCCCCTACGATCACATTTAGTCTCGTGGATGGCCGCGGTCCCATTTCTTGAATATTGGAATTTTCACTTATGGAATTTTCTAAATTTCTAGCCATTATATTTATCTTTTACGTTTTATCAAAGAATCTTTGCAAATAAAAAATTCTAATAATAAGAACGTACGAAAAATACAAGTGGACTAGAAAATAGAGAAAATAGAGAAAAATAATTTTTTTGCGCGAGAGTCTTCTACGAGTGTGAATCTCAACTCTCAATGAAAACACCAATTTGTGGATGCAAATTTTCGCCTTTGCCTTCTTTGACAAAATTGCACCTACAAAATAATCAACATTTTTGGTTAAGGCCAAGAGCGTCACGCGCCCACGATGAATTGGGGGGGGGGGCTTTGGCCGAAGAACCTCCGATTCCAAAGGTAGAATTCAGAGAGAAAAATGTTTGGAGAGTTTTTGGGAGTTTTGCAAGAGTGTGTCGCTTAGCTTTTTAGAGAAAATGAGGTCCAATTTATAGAGTATGGCCGACCCTCTTTGGGAGAGAGAATGGCCGGCCTTTGGGTGTTTTTTGGGGTGTAATGGGTGAGTTATTTGGCAATTAATGGATTAATTAGGTAATAAATCCATTAATTGGCCAATTAACTCAATTTATATGGAATGTTTTGAAGTTATGGAGTAAATACCTTGTAGGGAATATAAGATGAGGATGGATGAAATAATTTTGAATTTGTTGCCTATTTTGGGCACTTCGGGCTTGGTTGAGGGATGTTTGCCCGCTGTTCGCACATAGGAAACTTGGTGTGCCTCGAGAGTAATTTTGTCATTTTAACCCAAAAATCCACGTGTTGCCTCTTGATTATTTTTGGCTCCACAAAAGTGTTTCTTGAGTTTTCACAAACGAATGTGTTTTGTGGAGTGCGACATAAAGAAGGTAAAAGTTTCTAACCTTTATATTTCGTCGCTCATCCTGAACGATAATTCATGGCTTTGCCATTGCATTTGTATACAAGACAAATGAAATTAACAAGGCAATGTTCAATCTGAAAATTCAGTAAAATACAAACCAATACGGACCAAACCAAAGTATCTCCCATTCCAAAAATCCACTCCCGAAACATGAAATCAAGGGTTAATGTTGATGAAAACATTCACTTGCAGTGGCATAATCGCATCACTTATCGCGTTCGCAATTTCTCGATCAAGCCATTGGTTTCAGGCTTCAAGCACCATATAGATTGATGGTTAATCACCTTGAATATAGGTAACTCCCAGTTGTGGGAGGTGAGTGTTGACATGAATGAGGGATATTATCTTGCAACACATCTTTAATTTGCAAGGATTGTTCATAATCTTTGAGATTATAGTAATATTTGAATGAGTCAACTTTAGGATCAAACTTAATGGACTCTAGGCGTATACGTTCCCACAAAGTTAAAGATTAACACAGCGATGACGACAATTAAGAAAAACTAACACAGCGATAATGGCTCAAATTGCTTGTGCTTGTTTATTAAGGAATAAAACTAACTAATTAAAGAATAACACAGCGATAATGACAATTAAGAAAAACTATAATCAATTAAGAGAAAGAGATTAGGGGAGAAATTAGAGTGACGGAGAAAGAGGAATTTGGATGTACACACAGATTATATGTGTGCTTATTTAAGTGATTAGTTGTGTAAGAAAGAAGGGGTTAGAGAACTGTGTTAGAGGGGCTTAGGAGATTTTTACTGGATGCAATGGGAGGATAAGGTTGACTTAGATAGCATCACAATCTGTATGTGTATTAGTTAGCAAGAAACTGCAAAATTCGATCGAGTCACCCGTTGATTTCGACCGCTGCATGAAACAAGGGAAGAACCAGCTAGTAACTTTCACAAGTTTAAGTTGAAAGCTGGTGTTTTTTGTACATTTTCAACCATGGTTTGGCTGAAGCAGACAGATGAAACAATTATGCATACGACACAGCTAATGTTCGTTTGATGCGAGGAAACTGAGGCCGCGTTTGGTTAGCGGAGTGTGTTGGATAGTTTCGGATTACCAAAACAATATACCAAAACAATATACCTATAACAAACGAAGACTATGTTGTTCTTGTGTAAAGTCAAAGTCACTTGGCTGCATTGAAATTTCCAGCATTTGTTTGTTATTTTACATGTGAATTGAATTGTATTACATGTTTTGATGCAGCATATCTAAGAAATTCTGGAAAATATATAAGGTGTTGCAAAAGCTGTGAGCAACTTTTGGGTATGTAAACCCCTTTGATAGGTGCAGTTAGCAAACCAGTGAGTGAGTTAAGCAAAAACTTAAGAACAACTGTTAATCCACTGCATCTTTTACATGAAATTTTGCTTTCATCCGGAGTAAAAATACAGTATTGTCCTCAATTTTGAAGGTATATAAAGGATGAGCAAGAAGTGTATCAAGTCAAGTTACATAAGTTGCAAGTGGCATATGTGTCAATGTTCTACATGCTAAAGGAACATAAATACTTAATTCTAAATCAACCCAATGACCATTGGATTTGGATTTCACTTGGATTTATGTTCCAAGATCACTTTTGATGTCATAGAATGTGAAGATTTAGTCCTAATTTGTTAGGTCATCTGATGTTTTACAAATAGGATACATACCACATGAAATATGTCACACCCTTGCACAATGAGCAAAAGTTTTGTGCAACTTCATTTGCGTTCCGATCCACATTTCTATACCCGAATCTAGTCGGATTTCTACGATTCTTGAACCGACGTGTTCCTTAACTACGTTTGTGTTGGGTGAGGTGAAAAAATCCGGATTAAGTTCCGAGCATTCTCCGAAAATCGCTCGAGACGACAATAACATCACTAAAAACCCTAATCTTGACCATTGTGGCTTCAAACTCGAATAAATCCCGAACCCGAACTCAGAAAAAAAGGAAAAAATACTCGTTGGAAAGCTTAGATAATTTCCTACAAGGTGAAAAAAATTTCAATTAAATCCATCAAGTTAATATCAAGATATGATCAAATTAATTGAGCACAAAAGCACACCCAAACCAAGAATGAACACCTCATTTTCCAAACCCAGCCATCTACACCTCTCCCACCCAGAGCATCCACAACCGTCCACAACGGTTCATCCAAAGGCCCACATTCAAATTTCCGAAAGGCAGCGATCCTCGTGCTGGTCCTGTCGACCAATCAGCGCCCAGCTTTCTCAGGCACTTGACTATTTAAAGAGTCCAATTTCCGTCATCTTCTCACACAACGAAATTACCTGTGAATTGACACACACGTACATTGCCGGTCGATCCAGATCTCCCTCCCCTCTTTCAAATTCCAGTCCTCTTCCCTTTCCCCTTTATTTCCAAACCCTAACCCTAAAATTCGAATTGTTCATGGCGACCGAAGAAGCCACCGTGGTCGTCGTGACCGAGACGGTCGAGAATCCTCCTCCCGAGCCGGCCACCACCGAGACGGCGGCCGACAAACCGGCGGCCAAGACCGGCAAGGCCAAGGAGCCCAAGGCGAAGAAGGCGCCCGCTCCGAGGAAGCCCAGAAGCGCTCCAGCTCATCCTCCGTACGAAGAGGTAAACGCATTTTCGCGGATTCGAAAATTCGAATTCTCAATTTCTCGATTCGTGTTCTGCAAGTTTCGAGATTTAGGGTTTCCGATCTTATTTTTCCGGTTCAATTTTGTTGTCTGCAGATGGTTAAGGACGCGATTGTGACGTTGAAGGAGAGGACTGGTTCGAGCCAGTACGCGATCACTAAGTTCATCGAGGATAAGCAAAAGCAGCTGCCGCCCAACTTCAAGAAGCTTCTGCTCTTCCATTTGAAGAAGCTTGTGAGTTCTAATAAGATCGTCAAGGTCAAAAACTCCTTCAAGCTCCCGCCTGTGAGGTCCTCGGCGCCGAAGCCTGCATCTCCGGTGAAGAAGAAGCCGGCGGCCGCCGCTAAGCCCAAGGCAAAAGCTGTTGCTGCCAAGCCTAAGGGAGGGAAAAAGCCAGCTGCCAAAGCTCCGGCAAAGCCAAAGGCTGCTGCCGCCAAGCCTAAGGCGAAACCGAAGGCAAAACCCGCAGCTAAGCCAAAAGCTGCTGCTCCGAAGCCCAAAGCGGCTGCTCCGGCAAAGCCCAAGCCCGCTGCCAAGCCTAAAGCCCCCGCCGCCAAGCCAAAAGCTGCGGCTGCCAAGCCCAAGGCGGCTGCTCCGAAGCCAAAGCCAAAGGAGAAGCCAGCGAAGGCGGCGAGGACACTGACGAGGTCATCTCCCGGAAGGAAAGCTCCGACCGCCCGGCCTGCCCCGAAGAAAGCGGGGACTCCAAAGAAAGCTCCGGCTCGGAGCGTTAAGCCACGAAGCGTGAAGTCGCCGGCGAAGAAAGCTCCAGCTCGCAAAGGAAGAAAGTGAGAGAGTTTAGAGAGGAAGAGAGTCTAGTGGGTCTGTAGGGGTAGTCTTGTAAATCTCTTCGTCGTTGCAGTTTGAAAAGGAAGAATATATAATCCGGATTTTATTTTAATTTTCCTTTTTCGAGTATTTTCTGCCTGAAAATCGATCTTTTCTTTTGTTTTTGGTCTAGGGTTTTGTGGGGGACACAGTTTGGGAATGGATTGTAACAAATTTCAGTACATTTGAGTTGAAATAGAGAAGATGATGAGTTGTCGTGTTCCACCCTGCGCATTTTAGCATTGTTGTGTGTATATTCCAATGGCGTGAGCGATCTGAAAAAAGGAAGCGACGGCGTTTCATTGACGCTAGCCTGCCTGGTAAGCGCCTAACATCTGTTTGCGTAGACTTCAATTCAAACCTCATTCAATAACTGTGGTTGGTTCTCTCTCGGTTGTTTGTTAACTGGATCTCGACTTCTCCAATATCGTTTAAAATTGTTTGCTTTTCGATTCGATATTGAATGCATACTCTTTCAAACAGCACGAATGTAGACATGTGAACCGCCTGATAAGATGGTAGAAACGAATTTGGGCGAGAGAAATCTTTTGATATGTGCCCGAGATTTGGAGATGAATGACGCGAATAAGTAGGGTTGGGAGTCAGTGCCATCTCATAGTCATAGACACAGAAGATGTTTATCATAACATGAGATGGTTGTTGGGATACCAACATCGAATCATCTTTTGAGTAAAATCATACCGTACAATGGAACAACTGAGTTACTGAAACCATACCCGAGTTGTTGAGGCGAAGCACACAATTTAGGCGGTTGGGAGTTGAAGAAACCAGGTGCGACGGAGTTTCAACTCACAAACATCATCTCCTCTAACAAGTCATGTAAAAACGCATCCCCTGCTCTAGTGGCCTCTATTCTAGCGCGACCCCTGTGCAGTTTGCAGCGCCTCCTTATGCCAGGGCTTTATATGAACAAATGAATGCTATTTAAGTCTTTCTTTTCGTAACCTAGTTGAGTAGAATGCTATTGAGGAATAGGTCTAGTTTAGCTAAAACAAGGAGGTGGTTGGGTTTGAGAATGATTCCGATGTGGAATGCTGATATTTCCCATTTATCTCTGTCAGTTCTAGCATCACTCTAATATTGCGTCTGCTTTGGAGTTCATAACTTTTATCTTGCTACACTGGTGTTTTTGAGTAGTGGCAGCGTGACCCTGATATGTTTTGGGCACCTTCCACCTGAAAATGCTCAGTAAGCTAATGTTCAATCTCGTTTCTTGCATTCAGGATAAAGAATTTATGAATATGAGAATAGAAAACCCTCTAATATTTGGAATTCTAGAAAGTAAAACATTTACTTCCAATCACCGCGGTAACTTGAAATGAACAGAAAACAAGGCCTCCTTATCCATGATGATTCTTCATGCCAGAAGAAGTTGCGATGCGCGTACCTTGTTTTATAGACCATGGAGGTGATAAATTCAAGAGATTGAGACCTAGACATGAATCTCCCAGGCAGTTTCCATTTCAGTTACACGTTCTGTTGCTGGTAATTTGTTTCTCTAAACTCCCGTCCAATCTCCATGTTATTCAGAATTTCTTTCCTCATTCTTATGCAGTTGCTTTTTCTGGTTCATGTTTCCATTTTTTGTTATCAATTCCATTTTCAGCATTCTGGTTAGATTGATATACTTGCGATTTTAATGCCATGAAAAACTCTTGATAACAAACTCTTGATAACTAGATTTCAACTACAACAAACTCTTGATAACAAACTCTTCATACATCACACTAGTTTTCAACTACAACAAACTCTTGATAACTAGATCCTGGGTTGTGTAATTTACAAAATTGTTTGGTGGAAGTAAAATTTAGACAACTGGAGAAGAGAGATAACATAGAGGTTTGGCATTCGGTTCTACTATTGTTGGATGAACTCATGGAGAAGTTCTTATGTTGCCTGTTTGGTGGAGGGTTTTGTTCACAAGCTACCCAACAGATGTGTGAACGAATTCATTGGACTTGTGAAACAACAATGCCAACCAAAATAAAAGAGTTATTGCTGATGAGTCGACGACCAAGGAGTAGAGAAACACATGCAGGCATGTCCTTTACCATTGTCTCCATTAAGGTTTAACCATGTTTACTGTTGAAGTTGGCTTGAGAGCGCTCACTCTTTATTTTTATTTTTTTACCTAATGGAGTGCAGGTTTTCAGTCTCAAATGCAGGTTAAACATTGAAAGTAGCTGGCTGATATCAGGCAGGTACTCGTTTCTGTCATCTGTACTGTACGTTAAATTTTCAATTGATGCATCAGATGCATTGTTTTAGCTTCGAAAATCATTGTTCCTATGACTTCTGATAGTAGAAAGAATCACAAAAAGTAGCATTAATTACTGGTTTAGAAGATACGAATGTTTTTGGTCGGATTATTTCTTTCTCCTTACGCTATGGCTATGTAGTTTTGGTTACATTCTAAATTTCTAATGCCCTCCTCAATGCAACTGCCATTTAGGAACGGACAGTGTCTTTTAAGCAACTCTAGGTTACCATCTGGAGTGGAATTATTTGCCAATTAGCTGTGGATCTATAGATTTATTTAAGGCAGGTTTTGATTTCGCAGTTGCGTTGCTATAGATTATATTGGATATAACTGTATGAATGCTCATTTCTCAACTTGTTCTTACCGAAAAAATACAGAACTCAGTTAATTCTTATAGTTTCTTCGCTACCACTCTTCTCTGTTGAATGACAAAAAAATTTCACTACTCAGTACGTCCTGGAATATCTGAATTCAAAGTCATTAATTCATTTTGATTACACTGTATGTTTATGTTATGGGTAAGTTTAGGTTTATCAGAACAGAAAACATAAGGAAAAAGGAAACGTCTTTTCTAAACTGGCCTAATGAAGTTCATACAACAAGGAAATCAGACATTGTCAATCTCATATATATATGCCTATGATCATCTATGAAGATAAATCCGAATTTTGACCTTCAAATCTTCACCTTCTATATATATAAACCTTAGGACTATGCTCCTCATTTTTGATACAAAACAGCCAAGAAAGCTCCTCGTCTTTGCTACAACACTGACAAACACTTGCTGGTTGCAAATATGGAAAACTCCAATCCTTTGCTATGTCTCCTCCCGTCTTCTGAGCTGTGAAGATAAGAAGTTTAAAATGCTACCTGGCTGGGACCGTTGGTTTATTGTTTCAATCTTTCGACTTTCTGAATGGAGTACTTCAGTTCTTTTTGAATGTTTAATCTTGAAGGTGATAAGACAATGTCCTTCCAGACTGACCCGGTTTCATAAGCTGGGTTAGGGCGCTTGTAAAGTTCGTATATGGAATTCGCTGTGTCATTTAGCCTGCCTACCCTTTTTAAGCAATCGATTTCATCTGGATCCACGAGCAATGTTTTGTCTTTGTCTTTCCATCCTATCAACTTCACAAAAATCACTATCTCAGTATCACATATGTGATGTTTAGATTGCTACAAGCGTGCTCTATATCCATCATTGACTAGTATATTCATTCTATACATCTTGAATTCAGATGGATGCCTGGGCTTCATCAGACATGTTTCGGGGTTCAGGGTGCAATGGCTATGATTTCCGAGGCTAGGAGATGTAGAAATCAAGGCCATCAAAGGAAACTGTAAGTTTGTACTATTATGTTATGTATCCGAGCTTTAACCAAGAAAGTCCGTCCTTGTTGAGCTTGCTTATGTGAAAGTCTGCAGGTTTTTCTTATTGGAAAGGAAGATAAACGAAAAGAAGGGTAGCAGGCGTACCTTAGGCGGGCCTTCCAGTACATTCGTGCAATACAGTCTCGCGTTGTCAACCAGTTGGCAATATGTTAGAAATGCATTAGCAAATCTCTTGTGGGATTTCAATTGTGAGTTTACTCGCACCGCTCTTCGAACCATGATAGCTCTCCTGTTGTCATTGAGAATGCCCAATTTCATGCATCAATGTTTTTTCTTGCCACAAATTTGAGAGCGAAAAGAAAAAAGAATTAAGAAAAATAGGATATCTTTGACATAAAATGTTACCTGATGCCTCTTATAACAGCTAGATAAGCATCACACATGACTCCAACGAGCTCTATCCTGTATGGTTTTCTCTTTCTGCCTCCTACTTGTTCTGGTTCTTCATCGTCAAGTCGTTCCCAATAGTTTTCAGTGACAGTTCCATCCTCATTCACCCTGTAACCAGGCCCCATGCGGTAACGACGGCGATGAACATTTCTGGCCATGGTTACCGTCTGCACAACAAATGGTACCCAAGAGAGAGTGCCATCCATGATGACATCCCGCCCTTCATTAAGGGCTGTGACGAGGAGGGATGATGCTGCGTCCGTAGATGATTGGTGTACCTGTTTAACATTATTTTATCAGTTTTTGAGTAAATTCTGTGCATCTAAAGTTCCACTGCAGCATTGTAAGAGAGACAGGAAACAGAGACGCTGAAAGTAGAGAAGATAAGTGGGTAGCGTTCTGGGTTTTGAAGGTAGCTTCATATCGAAAGTTTTAAGGCCTCATATAATCATCTGTCCTAAGGATTCTGGCAATGGCTGGAGATCCTCCTACGTCAGTGTGGTTAAGAGAAGTACTGCCTGTTTAGATTCGTGTCGTGAAGGATCAACTCTTCATCCAGATCAAGGATAGAGATGCACTGTAATCAGATGCCCCTTCAGGTAATATAACTCAGACAATAAAAAAGCTACGTGCAGCGATTACTTCTATACGTCAATTTTATGGGTTATGCTATCTGCGGGGAACTTCCGGGAAAAGTGTGATGATGCTGCTCTTGAAGTTAGAGAGAAAGAGGAGAGAGTTGATATATACCAGTTCAGCGGTTTGAAGCATGTCGTCATGATGGCCTCTGGAGCTGAGAGCTCTGTATATGACATCTGATTCTTTGAAGGCGTCTGCCTCAATCACTACAGCATTCCCCGCTGCTCCGTGCCAGAATGGTCTGTAACGCATTTCATCCAAAAATACTATGTTAGCTTCTCTCCACTTTATTTTTCGTGTTCATTAATTTCGAAATTACTCCTCAGCTGGTAAGAAAATAAAGTTTCGCTTGAAAATTTTAGTAATGACGATGATCCGCATATGGAATAAGCTTAGAAACCCAACAGTTTTCCAAAAGAAGTTGGTTTATATAGATTTTGCATTCAATTATACTTACTCTTTGAGAATGTCCTTTAACACAGTGCTCTTTCCTGCTCCCATTCCACCTCCCATGAGCAGGAGGACCGGACTTCTGTCAGCATGAGCCACCGGAGCCATCACCTCTGTGCACGTTGAGTCATCCGGCTGTGCGAGTCCCATTGCCTTCATCTCCTCCACTAAGTTAGTGAAAACTCTAGCCACCTTCAAATTTTTCGTCACTCTCTCGAATCTCTGTTCTCTGTATCACAAATTGCAGGTAATTAGTATTCCTGTAAACTTCAATATTTGCATATCAATTGCCATGTCTTATTAACACACGCACGCACATACCCTACCAAAAAGAAATAAATTTCCCACCTGGTTGCCGCCATGACAATGTTTTTGAGCTTCTTTTTGGGCTCAGCATCACAGCTCAAGATCTGAAATTTTATAAATTGTTGTTACTTTCAGTTCCACGGAGAAATAAATCACCGGAATTCAACATCGTGTGGTTAATTTATGGAAAAAAAAATGCATCATGAACACTATCACATTATCATCCATATATTTTGTTTTTGATCTTAATCACCTGAGTAATCATCATATCAGCTTGGCTCCAGTGAAATGCAAAATAACTGAGGATGCATCTCTCAAACTCCTCGACGAGCTTCACAAACAGAGAATCCGCATCCGGTTCACTGGAAAAGAAGTTGTAGATATCTTCCTCAAACCCCTCGAACTTTCTGATGTATTCAGTGGCTAGCTTGCAGAGCTGTGGACATTCTCTTCTGTCTTTGAATCCCAGCTGCCTAGCTGCATCCACAACAACACAATGCCAAAAATATTCAATCACAAACACGTTGCAGATCACAAAGGCCACGGAAAATAAGCGGATGATCATGTTATCATTACCTACGTAGTGGGGGAACCTCTCGAGCTTGTGATGAACGCGGTTCGAGTCGGAAACCTTGAGGCGGGGGATGACCTTCTGATCCTTATGCTTTCGGAGGCGGTAATGCAGCGCGGCGGCAATGATGATGCCGATTGAGGAGGCTACAAGGATCTGAGTGAAGGTGTGATCTGAAGAAAATGGAGAGGTGATGAGGAACGAAAAATGAGAGAGGTTTTTGCATGAAGGATGGAAGCAAAGAGCGACGGAAAAGGCCAATATCAAGAGGCTGACTAGCTTTGTTGCATGATAATTCTTACCTTTCTGCATGTCTTACAAATTCCAGGAAAATTGCTCAGATCTGAAGAATGAATGAATATTTTTATTTATTTTTGCTTATATTCTTGTTTTTGTTGATTTGATTGTGAAAAAGATGAAGGAAAATTTGGGATTTGGTTGTGCTTTTGTCGTTGCATGTTAATCGTGATAGTTTGTTGCTATTGAGCGGTGACGCACGTCGATAATATCTTTTGAGAGAACGTTGTTAGTCAATTAATAATAATATTATTAATGGAATAATCAAATATATAACATGGCATAGGCCAACTAATGGCCAACTAATCTTATTTCATCAAACACTTTTATAAACTAAAGTATTTTTTAGCAATTATACATTCCCCACTTTTAAGAATTTCAAACATTCACTTTCTTTATTAGCAAAAAAAAAAAAAAAAACATTCACTTTCTTTGCCTAGGTGAATTACATCAGTTCGAAATTTGTTGCATTTGAGTTCAAATTTTCTGTCATAAGTTAGAAATGATATAGAGTATTCGCCTTGTCAAAAGCCCAAAAAAAAAGAAGCGTACACATTTTTTTTTTTTTCTATAATCGTTAGCTTGTTATCCATTATGTATATTAATGCTTTTCACACAAAAGGTAGGCATGTTAATCTATTTATGCATTTTATGTTAAATTTAACAAATTATTGTTGACAAATAATATCATAATGCATGTCTTAAGAATGCCGATTAAATTTATTTCTTATTTTAAAGTAGCAAAGCATTTATTTCTCATACAATTTGCAAGTAAGAAATTTTTCAATGAGATCGTGACATTATTACAATTCTTATTGATTCAGCTCGTATCAAGAACGGAGGGAGTCAGCTTTGGGCTATGGTGGGCACCAACCCCGCTTCAATGGTATGGTAAAGGTCTTGTATGTGTTCCTAAGAAAAGGAAGTTGTTCATTTTTCGGGGTCTCGAAGGGGCATGGAAACACCTAAGGACTATTGATTCAAGAGAATAATTCGGAGTTCTTGCAGAGTGAAACCATACAGTACCAGACATGAGATAGATCTTCCAAAGAACAATGTTTTTCAAATTTTTTGATGCTATCTTCTAAGTTACAAAATGTGAAGGTGCATTGCTATGGTCTTAAATGGCTGATCGTTATTGTATTCAAAACAAAATCTTCAGTGGTGGGGTGACGGGGGTCTGTACAAGAGGAGATCACATCGATGGAGTAAAGGATTGAAGATGCATTCAACTGCAGTGCGCGTGTGACTCCCCTGAATCAAGGTTGCAAAGAAACAAGACCTAGTGCAGCGTGCTTGTGCATGCATGTCGAAGTTGCATTTTTCTCCTGGTCTCGCAGATTATGACATGGTGTCAAAGAAGAAGAGAAGTTTACCTCTGAAAGGTACTGTTCTATGAACGTCGCTTCAGCGTTAATCTTTCGTCAAAGTATGAGAGAACATGATCGAAGAGTGTGTTGTAATCAGTCCGCCTCCCGTTCTACTCCATAGTTTTGTAATACAGATATTAAACTTGTTTGTACTTCATGAAAACCTTAAATTCTGTCAAATGTTCATGTTGAGAATTAAATAAAAGAACTGCAAATTATTCACTAAAATTTTCTGCTGCGATACTTTACGAGCCTTTTGTTCTCATTCTTTTTTATGACCTCAAAATATTTTCCATTTATTTATAGAACGAAACAACACCTACCCCCATGTCAAAAAGCCGAACTGAAATGGTTTGAGAGTCTGGCCTTACTAGTTGTTCTATGAGGGTCATATTGTGAGGGGTATGTCTATGAATGTTTCTGTGTATATTTTTACTTGTTGAATACTTTTTCTTTATTTGAACCATATTCTAACATATTAGCGGAGAAGAAGATTCGAGCTTGGGTGCATAGCGTAGAGTGCATTGCTCTAGCCTCTAGCCAACTTGGCTACGCCCAAGTCTGCATACTTATACAATACTTCAACTTTGTACCATCAGCTGTTCATTCTTGAGGAGAATTGGATATCCAGCATGAAGGTTGAAAACATGCACAAACATACAATTAGTTTCTGTTTCTGAAGGAAACAACATTTCCAAATGAATTTGGATTGATGGATGTCAACAAAAGGAGAACAGACACTCTCTTCCCTTCCCTCCTCTCTCTCTCTCTCTCTCTCTAAAAAACTTTGTAACAGTTAGCAAACAATTTTACCGTATTTTGAAGTTACCAGTTCTCAAAAAAAAGAAAAAGAAATCCCTCCATCCACATCGTGCCATAATTTGTTGAAAATTAGACAATACCCTACAATGTTGCATGAAAAAGAGTCAGGATAGCATATGGATGAGAATATAATACACATAAGCAGACAAAGATCGCACTGGTAGGCAGCTGGCACCCCCTCTCCATTTCTCTCCCTGCAATCTTTCATTTCAACCCCCCAAATAGGTTCTTTTATCCCCCTGAAGTCCAATCAAAAGCCCCACAAAACAAATAAGTACTTTGATTCCTATTTTGCAACCTAGCCTTTACTTTCAACATGAAAATCAGAACCCACACTTATAACTCTCAAGACATTGATATTGTATTCTTCTCGTATCAGCATACTTCATGCTCCACATTCAATTGCATTATTTTTCTTTTGGACATGATTTATTTTTAATTTTTTCATCTCACAAAGTAAAAAAATATCAAGCAGCCAATTGAGAAGCTATATAGTTATCTATATCTAGCAGATCTGAAATTATGAACTTCACATGTAAATCTGAGCATATACTTATATGAAATGAGGCCGCCAAAGTGTCAATATATCAAGTCTATTAGTGTCATTATACGTTTTAACTTTCTCACATAACGTCTCAGTTTCATGCAAGTCTTTCTTCCAATTTAGGTTTGACTTATCTTGTAAGGTATGGTTTGGCATGGAAGAGAGAAATCTTTATATCCTTTATCAGAACATCAAAGAAATAAACAAACGAAAAGGACAGAAGGAAAGCTTTAATTTGCAGTTCGCATCGGCACTATACATCTTTGTCAACATTTAAGCATGAAAAAGAAAGAATTAAACTATATATCATTACACACCTGATGCTGGGTTGCTCCGGTTGCCGATTCCGGCCACGATTGAAAATCTGCAGCCAGCTTCTCTGCACAAACAGGAATCATTAGGCAGTAGTGTACTAAAACAACAAATTGATGTACCTGTATAATTCTTCGTTGCATTTTAATGCATGATATGTTTCTAGACTGTATATTCCTCCAAGTTGAGGGGAATGAAGCCTGGTCCGAGATCATTCAGATGATAACGATCTTCAAGTTTTATCGAAAGATCTCGAACCAGACAACATTCCCCACAACTGTTCTTAAGAGAGAGAGAGAGAGAGAGAGAGAGAGGAGAGGAGAGGAGAGGAGAGGAGATGAGAGGAGAGGAGAGAGATGGCATACAGAGAGAGAGAGAGAGAGAGATTTCATATGGCCATGCATTATATTTTCATGGGGTCCTTATATACGTAAGGATGAAAACAAGATTCTTTCCCCATGTCACATGACGCATGGAGTCCACCTTCTACACTAATACTGCTAAACTAGCTTTCAATTTCACACATAGCTGGCCAAAGGTTCTTTGTGGATATCAAATTGTAATAATAAACATCCAAAGTAAAAGGAAATTGTCAGGATTTTCTTTCTCTTTCCTCAAGAAAATATATTAGTTAATAGTTTTAAAGTCAACTTAAATAGCTTCTTTAGGCACTTAAAAATAGATTAAGGAACAAGCTACCCTCTACTTTCAAAAGCCTTCTACCCTAAACCTTTGCAAAGGCCAATGTATAATTGTATATGGTCCAGACTTTGTAGTTGCTTTTTAACAATCAACTTATGTAAAACTTGCAACAATGCCTAAAATAGCGAAATATGCACAAATAAAACCAGTACAAACACCACGATTTAGTACTCTTATTGTCTGTTAAATTGATGTCCCTCAAGTTCTATATATTGTGATTAAAAGTTTGTAACTGGGTCTACTGAGATTGATTAATAATTGATGAAGTGATTAATAGTTTTGAGGAGGGTGCGTTGCTTTCATGCAAGGATCTTGACCTTGGTGTTGATTGCAGCTCACAAGCAAAGGATATGTCTTTTGCTTGCCACTTGGGTAAAGGGACGGTGACGGAAGGTGGAGAACCTTCAGTTATCAATGATGGCATGCATATATGATTTATGCCAAGCTTAAATCCCAAGCTTAACACAGATCGGTATGTTAAAGCTATTTACAGACAACCAACCAACAAATTTTAAAGCAGAAAGGAAAAAGGGACAAAAGAAAAGTGGAATATAAAGCGCATTATGCATAATGCACTCCCTAATTTTATTTTATTTTTGTCTTGACTTGATGATCATAAGTTTAAGATCTCCCATCCATGCTTCAATTTCATATATATTTTTGGTCTATTTTGTCACAAGTTAGAGATATTAAAAAATCTTTTGTCAGTCAGTTGCATATATAATATCAAGAAGGAAATTTTGTGGCAGCGTTTTTAACCAATTTAGAATATAATTATTCTTAACTCGGAGTCTAGTTTTAAAATTTTCCTAATTTTGTATCTTTGAAAATAATTTCCTGTATGGAATCTTGATATCCCTCAAAGAGTTTTATTTGTAATCGCAAAAACAGTTTTAATTTCATATTTGAGTCAAACTTAGCCCACACATCTATGTACAATGGAAAAGAGAGGAATGTGTACACAAATTATTAAGATAATTTTTGCTTGACTACAAACTAATAAAGTCCTTAGTAGATATTTTGGAATCAAAATCAACTTTCCAATTAGGCCTTACATGATTTTTTAAGTACTCTATGATTGATCAGGACGAGCGCTCTAGTCCCTAGACGACTTTTTTCAACAACTCATATTTCAACAGTTACAAATAAGAAAAGTTAAGTTTATTTCTTTTACCGACCGACTTGTTTAGCGCAAACACTAAGCAAGTAACTTTAGAGTATAATAAACATAGAGCGCTGATTGTAATAACCGTGATATTATCGCGTAACAGAAAGATAGAAATAAAAAATCACAATCAAGTTTAATACCAATAGCTAATGGAATCATTACCTCTATACTATATGCGTATTTGAAAGATTTATGACAAGTCAAAGTCCCTTTTCCTGAGTAGGCATTCTGTTCCCACATTTCGAGCATGTTCTCTTCAAAAAGTGGTGCCAACTTTCATCTTGGTATTTGAAAACCTAAACACAATCTCACACAAAGTAGGCATTTTTTCCATTTTCATTTTGTTGCAGAATTTCTTGGAGTTGGACATAAAATACATGAATTAATCTGCATGAGATTTAAGGCTTTATGTTGAAATTTTCTTTACTTATTTTAATTAAATTTTTAAAAGCTATCTTACAGTTTAAAAGAGATTTTTTTATTGAACTTTCTGTAAGTATTTTTATTCAATTTGGAATTTTCTATAAGCTTTAATGGTCTATGTCAAAGAGAAAGAACACAAAAAGATGAAGTGAGGAAAATATTTTAGATTTAAAAAACCGTCTTACCATTTATTGAA